TAAAGAGGAGACAACAATACATACAGAGACAGAAACAGAAAGAGGAGGAGACAAAAAGGAGACAGAAAAAAAAGAAAAAAATAAAATAAAAAAAGAAAATATAGTTACACCCATAAACATAGAAAACTGCTTCAAGCTCGCCCTCAGCCACGGCATTTTGTCTCTTCTCACAAAAAACAATATACACCCGAGCAATATAACATTTGCATTAGATATAAACAAAGAAGAACACAAACAAAACAATATAAATAAATATAAATATAACTCCTTCTCTCTCTCTAGCAGCAGCAGCAGCAGCAGCAGCAGCAGCAACAAAGTTGCAGAGTATGGGTGGCCCCCAGGCGCTATACTTAAGGCTGTCTCCAACAAAAGGCAGTGGGCCCTCTATGCTTACGAGCTGGGGAAGCTGCACACCGCCAGCGACAGGTGGCATGCAGCAGCAGCAGCAAAAGCAGCAGCAAAAGCAGCAGCAGCAGCAGCAGGAGGGGGAGGGGGAGCAGCAGCAGCAGGGGGAGCTGCAGCAGCAGAAGGGAGAACAGCAGAAAGCGAAACGGGAAAAGGAGGCGAGACGGCAGCAGCAGCAGCAACAGCACCAGCAGCAGCAACAGCAGCAGCAGCAGCGCCTGCAGCAGCAGCACCTGCAGCAGCAGCAGCAGATGAAGAGGAGACAAAAGAAAAACAGCAGCAGCAGCAGCAGCAAGAAAACAAAGAAGAAAAAGAAGAACAATAAATTTATTATAACATCAACACACACAAATACACAATAACCAACCTGCTGCAGCAGCAACAACTGCAGCAGCAGCTGCTGCAGCAGCAGCAGCAACAACTGCAGCAGCAACAACTGCAGCAGCAACAGTTGCAGCTGTGCGTGGGGGTCTGTGTTTAAATAAATATAAATTGAGGGGAGAAGAAGAGAATCGAAAAGGAGACAGAGAAAGGTAGCTGTCTCCTGTCTCCTTTTTTTGTCTCTCTGTGTGGTTGTTTGTGTCTTTCTGTTGTCTCCTTTCTGTCTCTCTTTTGTTTTTTCTTTGTTTCTTTGTTTGTCTCCTTCTTACTCCTCTCTATTAGCTTTATTTATCTATTATATAATATAATATACAGTAGAATATTATATATATATATATAT